GTTTCCATCTGGAACTGCATCTTTTCATGACCTTGATTGTAGTGATTGTTTGTCTTAATATGCAGTAATCCTGTATTTTCCATTTATCCAGGTACTTTTAACTTCTTCAGAAGCTGTTCTGTCTGCATTGCCTTCTCCATTACTTGCAGAAGCCCAAATGCTAAGAGATCGAGCAATGAGTCATTATCAGGCTCGCAGTCTTTTTGGAAGCAGCCACAGGCTAAATAATCGGAGAAATGGATTGGGTTTTGACCGGCAGACAGTAATTGACAGGGGTGTTGGAGTCACAATTGGTCGGAGGGCAGTTTCTGCTCTTGCGGACAGCTTGAAGGTTAAGGAAATTGAAGGAGAGCCGCTTCTGGATGCTAATGCTTTGAAAGCCTTAATTAGGCTTCTACGACTAGCCCAGGTAAAACCATATTCTAATTATGGGAGTTGGAGTATCACACGTGCTAGCTAGATTTTTTTTGGAAGTACTTTGCTGCCAAACTGGTAACGTGCAGACATGCATTCACGCATAAAATCATTTATTGAATTATATTCTGCTAACATGGTGGATTTGTTTTGGTTTGTGTGTTTAGCCCCTTGGTAAAGGACTCTTGCAGAGGCTCTTGTTAAACTTGTGCACCCATAGTGTTACAAGAGCAATCTTAGTTCGTCTTTTGCTCGATATGATCAGACCTGAGGCTGAAGGCTCAGTCAGTGGACTAGCAACTATTAATTCCCAAAGGCTTTACGGTTGCAATTCAAATGTTGTTTATGGTCGATCACAGTTGTTGGATGGTAATCATCTGATGCGGCAATAATTATCTACATGATTTTTTATTTTTGAACTATGAATTTATATGTTCTATTTTCATTTTCAACAGGTCTTCCTCCCTTGGTGTTGCGTCGAATTCTTGAGATATTGACTTATTTGGCTACAAATCATTCTGCTGTGGCAAATATGTTGTTCTACTTTGACTTCTCAGGCGTTCCTGAACCATTTTCTATCCATATGGAAACCAAGAAGGATAAAGGCAAGGAGAAAATGGGAGAGGGAGGATATTCATCAAAAATTTCTGGAAACACCCAGGACGTGAATGTTCCCCTGATATTGTTCCTAAAACTCCTGAACCGGCCTCATTTTTTACATGGCACTGCTCATCTTGAGCAGGTACAACCTTTTTTTTTTAATTTATCATGAACCAGTTTTTGAATGTGACCCCAAACAGAATGTTGTTTTTTAATTTTTTCTATACAATTATAAGGGTTAAGTCTCTTGTTTGGTGTCCACCTCCATACTACCTCAACTGTACCTGAGAGATTATCTAAATTTAAGATTCAATGTGTTTGAGTGTAATTCAATTGTTTAAAATGTCTAACTCATCACCCATTATGGACCAAACCCCGTACCTGCTCCTTAATTATTTTGCTCTTGTTAAAAGTTTCTAAATAATTAAGATGGCTTATGGTAGATGACTTGCGTCTTGCTTGCCATATATCTTGGTGTAACCTGGAGTCATAATTTGATTATTTAATTTTAAAATCATACCTTGCTATCTATCTAATATTTTTAAAATTCAGCTCAATCTTGTGTTTTTTTTTTTTTTGTGCTACAGGTCATGGGCCTGCTTCAGGTTGTTGTTTATACCTCAGCTTCAAAATTAGAGGGTCGTTCTCAATCTGAAAGGGTAGATGGGAATTCTCAAAATCTAGCCATAAATGAAGCTTCAGGAGATGGTCAAAAGGGTCCTGCTTTGGAACAAGAATCTCATGGGGATAAGCCTATTAGTGGTGAATCATCAACTTCAGATGGAAAGAGGAATACAGATACTTATAATATTTTCTTGAAGCTGCCAGAATCTGATCTGCACAACCTTTGCAGCCTTCTTGGTCGTGAGGGGTATTATTAGTTCTCTAATTCTTATTTGCATTATTTGAATGTGTGCGTTATTGTTTAGCTTTTGACTGTTGTACTTTGTTTGAGTAGTTGCTCCTTAATTTGTTATGTGCATTTCCTTTACATGCATATTATACCAGCCCGCTCTCCTTTGTGCTGCTATGTGAAGTATGTTGTAAATGAGCATCTAATCTCGTTTGTTTACTTGATTAGGCTTTCAGATAAAGTTTATATGCTTGCTGGTGAGGTCCTGAAGAAGTTGGCTTCAGTTGCAGCTGCCCATCGATTTTTTTTTATCTCAGAGCTTTCAGAACTAGCTCATGGGTTGAGTGCATCAGCTGTTGGGGAGCTTGTCACCCTCCGAAATACACAGATGTTGGGTTTGAGTGCTGGGTCTATGGCTGGGCCAGCAATCTTACGTGTATTACAAGCACTTTGCTCACTTACTTCACCTAGGGCTAGTGAGAATTCAGGACTGGAGAATGATGCGGAGCAGGAGGAGCGTGCCACCATGTCGAAGCTAAATGTGGCACTTGAGCCATTGTGGCAAGAATTGAGCAACTGTATAAGTGCAACTGAAACACATCTGGGTCAGAGCTCTTTCTGTCCAACCATGTCTACTATAAATATTGGGGACCATGTACAGGGTTCTTCTTCTTCGTCTCCTCTCCCTCCTGGAACCCAGAGACTCCTGCCTTTTATGGAGGCATTTTTTGTTTTGTGTGAAAAGCTACAAGCAAACCTCTCTATTACGCTGCAAGATATTGCGAATGTGACTGCAAGAGAAGTCAAAGAATCTGCTGGAAACTCAGATCCTTCAACTGCTAAGTGCCACAGTTGCGGGGATTCTCAGAGAAAACTTGATGGTGCTGTCACATTTACAAGGTTCGCTGAGAAGCATCGCCGGCTTTTGAATGCCTTTATCAGACAGAATCCAGGTTTGTTGGAGAAATCCCTTACTATGATGCTGGAGGCACCAAGGCTAATCGATTTTGACAACAAGAGAGCATATTTCCGATCAAGAATTAGGCAACAACATGAGCAACATCTCTCTGGTCCACTGAGAATAAGTGTTCGCCGGGCTTATGTTTTGGAGGACTCTTACAATCAGTTGCGCATGCGGCCTAATCACGACATGAAGGGACGATTAAATGTTCAATTCCAAGGGGAAGAGGGTATTGATGCTGGCGGTCTGACACGAGAGTGGTATCAATTACTATCACGGGTTATATTTGACAAGGGCGCATTGCTTTTCACCACTGTAGGAAACAATGCAACTTTCCAGCCAAACCCTAATTCTGTCTTCCAGACGGAACATCTTTCTTACTTTAAATTTGTGGGCCGTGTGGTAATTCTTCTGGACCATTGGATGAGTTTTTGAGACTTGTTTTATGATCTTTCCGTGTCTGTATAAGATTTCTCTTTAATTTTTTCTGGTGTGATTTTATTCAGGTTGCAAAGGCACTTTTTGATGGGCAACTTTTGGATGTTTATTTCACTCGATCCTTCTACAAGCACATACTTGGTGTAAAGGTGACTTACCATGATATAGAGGCTGTGGATCCTGATTACTACAAGAATTTGAAGTGGATGCTGGAGGTTAGTGGGGTTTTGAGCACAATCTGATTTTTTTTTTTTTTTTTAAATCTTTCAGAGTTGGATGGGGCTGGGTTTGGTTTTAGGTTTATATCTTGTTAACTGATTGAATGTATGCATCGGTCATTCGGAAATTTTCTTTTCTGATGGTTTTGCTGCATGGATTAGGACTTTATTAAGTTTTTGTTTCTCTTTATGCCTTTTTTCCCGTCCAGAATGATGTGAGTGATATACCTGACCTGACGTTTAGCATGGATGCGGATGAAGAAAAACATATCCTTTATGAGAAAAACCAGGTATTTGAATGTCAACTTCTATTGATATGTGAGTTTTATTATTTAGTTTCTTTATTTTTGAAAGCACTTTGTTTTTTTTTTAGTTGTTTAGTCTTGCTTAAATGTCAATTGATTCTTATTTAACTTTCATTATATTTCTGAGTTCATGGGTTTGACTAATGTTTTGTTTGTTGTGTTGTTTGGTTTGTGTTTTCCTTTTTTGTTTTCCATCCTCTTCTTGAAAAGGTTACTGATTATGAGCTCAAACCGGGAGGAAGAAATATTAGGGTTACAGAAGAAACTAAGCATGAGTATGTTGACCTTGTAGCTGAACACATCTTGACAAATGCTATCCGTCCTCAAATTAATTCTTTCCTGGAGGGGTTCACTGAATTGGTCCCGAGAGAGCTTATATCTATTTTTAATGATAAGGAGCTTGAGCTACTTATCAGTGGTCTTCCAGAGATTGATTGTGAGTTGCCTTTTATATGAGCTTATTTAATAGATAATCTTCTTTTGCTTCTCTTGAGGTATCTGAATGGTGCATTGGCCTTGCAGTGGATGATTTGAAGGCCAACACTGAGTATACTGGCTACACGGTAGCATCTAGTGTTGTTGAATGGTTTTGGGAGGTGGTTAAAGGTTTCAACAAGGAAGACATGGCAAGACTGCTGCAATTTGTGACTGGAACATCAAAGGTAATGAGAGGTTTTTTTTTGGGTGCTAATAGCAGCAAGGGCTTTTCTATTCCTGTTTTCTGTTGATGCATGAGCCCCAAAACAGGATTGTGAGTTTTTCTGAATGGATACATTTTATATTAGTGGAGCTAATGTATTTGTGGTTTTTCAGGTTCCGTTAGAGGGGTTCAGGGCTTTGCAAGGTATATCTGGTGCTCAGAGATTTCAGATTCACAAGGCATACGGAGCTCCTGACAGGCTGCCCTCTGCTCATACATGGTTAGTATAAACATAGTTTTTGTGCGCATCTTACTGGGAACAAAATATATTTTTCTGCCCACTTACATGCTCGTCAAGCTTGATGTTTCTAATGGATTCCTATGTGATCTCCAGCTTTAATCAACTAGACCTTCCTGAGTACACCTCCAAAGAACAGCTTCATGAACGGTTGATGCTTGCTATTCATGAAGCTAGTGAAGGATTTGGCTTTGGTTAACAGAAAGAACCTCAGCTGATATTGTTGCCCCAGCACACCAGTCATCGCGCTTATAGTTACCATGTACATGTCAGTTCAACATCCTTTTCCTTTTTTTATTTATTCCGAATTACTTTGTTAATCTTTTCTATCCTTTAGTTTATTCAAGTCAAGATAATTTGTGATTTTCCTCTGGTCTCTCTATAACTGTTGTGATGGTTGAAGTGCTAACTAATCATCCGTATTGCATGTACACACATCTGATTTATTATTGAGTACTTACCAAAGTATTTCACTCTTATTCTTCTTCTTCTTCTTCTTCTTTGTGCAGATGAAAGATCCGAACCGAAGCTCCCGGAATTATAGCAACCTTGATGGATTTTGTGAACTCTGAAAGCATTATCTATTTTTTGGAGGCAGTAGAGCAAAGCTTTTATCAACTATATACAGCAGATGATCATTATACTTTTGCTGACTCATGTTGGCTCCTCAGTGACAATGGCTTGAAAATTTGAAATTCTTTCTGTGGATTCTTACAATGTCCGAAAATTGGGGAGTCGTACAGATGATGGGGGATAGAAAATCGCTTTTGTTGTTTATATTAGATTTCTTTCTATGTTATGAGTTTATGGCCAAACTGCCTTAGATTAGTCAGTTTCACTTTCTCTGACCTGAATTTGGTAATAAGCCTAGGAATATGTATATTGTAATTCCAGACGGATGTTTTTGGGTTTTAATTGAAGGCGAGAAAGTGGTTCAAATTTTGCCCTTCATTTTTATTTTTATTTTTTTCTTTCTTGGGTTGGATGCTTTGATTTGAGTCACCTGAAATGTTTCTGATTTTTGTGTCTTCTAGATGATCATGGTTCAAGGTTGAACGGATAAGCCCCGGCGACACCATCCAAATGAAATTTACTAATATTAGCCTCTAACCTTGATTGTTTTTATAAGTTTTGGTTGATTATTCTAGAATTTTTTCTTCGGGTCAACAAATATACAAATATATACTTAGGAATACATATGGGATCATTTTATGTACTTATAATAATACATTTGTTTTTTTACAAATTTATAAATAAACCCAATCCTAGACATGTATTTATAAAAAAATCCAAGCACTATTTAAACATAGAAACACACCCAAAATCAACCCCAAAGTCAACTTTTTGGGTGTGTTTATAAATGTGTTTTGAGTGTGTGTAACGATGGGTTTTGGGTGTGTTTATATGTTTAAATAGTGCTTGGGTTTTTTTATAATTTCAACCTCCATTTTGGGTGTTTTAGTGAAACTCCCTTGTTTTTTCTACATGTTATGAAGAGCATCTGCATATTTTTAGCTTCTAAAACGTTAGGTTGAAATGTTGGTTAAAATTGATGAGGAGTGGGAACAAACAATTTCCAACAAAGAGAGTGTAAGTGGACAAAAGCAGAATGAGAAAATTAGCTCCATTATTAATAACCTCAAATTTTCTTAATGGGGAAAGTGGAGAGGTACCAAAAGAATCAACAATTTCTCTTCTTGGCCCCTAACTCTTTTTATAATTAAAAAAATAGTTATATTTTTTTTATTAAAAGTTTTTTATTTTATTTTATTTATGTATAATACTTTATTTTATTTTATGTATAAGCCATATTCGTGTGTTAAATATTTCAGCCGGTGGATGTTATCCAACGGTTTGTGTGTTTGTCGTGTTCACCAGCGCTCAAAGATACGCGCTCTTTATTGTTTCCTCCAGTGTGACAAAGAAGGCGGTGATGACTCATGAGAAAGAAGCATAGCACTCAAACTCAATGTTGTCCTCCTCAACGACTAGAGCTAAACAATTCTCTCTAATTTCCCACCGAATTTCAAAGTTCAGAGCTTTTCATGCTTTCTTCCAAGACATCAAAACAAATCTTGGAGATGATGATGCCAGAAACATAGCTCACAAAAAAGGCACACAAACCTCTGGTATGTCACTTTCTCTACGCTTCTCGTTGAGTGTGTTTGTTTTGAGATTAAAGTTTTTATTTTATGGGCACAGTGCTTTTCTTTTAGGCTAAACTGTTAACATTTGGGAACTACAGGCACAGAAATGGAGAAGAGCATATATGCAATTCTCACCATAGACCGTTGGGAGTCTCTGAACCACATGGATTATAGGTTAGCTTCTCTTAGACCAGTACATGGAAGGCTGGCTTTGAAATTTCTCAATTGGGTCATTAAACAACCTGGTTTGGAACTCAACCACCTCACTCACATACTTTCTGTTACAACCCATATACTTGTTCGAGCTAGAATGTATGACTCTGCCAAATCAATTTTGGGGCATTTGTTGCAAATGGGTATTGCCCCAAAACCTGTTTTTGGTGCTCTGATGGATACTTACTCTCTTTGCAATTCAAACCCTTCAGTCTTTGACCTTCTAATTAGAGTTTATTTAAGGGAAGGAATGGTTGATTATGCTGTAGAGACTTCGTATTTAATGGGTTTTCGGGGATTTAGGCCGTCCACTTGTACTTGTAATATGATCCTAGCTTGGTTGGCAAAGGACCAGAAAGCTGCGTCAGTATGGTCTTTTTTCAAAGAAATGCTTGCTAATAAGATTTGCCCCGATGTTGCTACGTTTAATATATTGATTAGTCTTTTATGTGTTGAAGGGAAGCTTAAGAAAGCTAGTTATCTTCTGAGAAAGATGGAAAAGAGTGGCTATGTTCCAAATATAGTTAGTTATAATACTTTGCTCAATTGGTACTGCAAGAAGGGGAGGTATAAAGCAGCCTTTGAGCTTATTGATCACATGGGTTCTAAGGGTATAGAAGCAGATGTATGTACATATAACATGCTAATTGGTGATTTATGTAGAAACAATAGGAGTGCAAAAGGTTATGTACTGTTGAAGAAAATGAGAAGGAAGAAGTTATCTCCCAATGAGGTTACCTACAATATTCTTATTAATGGGTTTGTGAAGGAGGGGAAACTTGGCGTTGCTACCCGAGTTTTTGATGAGATGTCTACTTTTAATCTTTCACCGAATTTTGTTACTTTCAATTCTTTGATTGGTGGACTCTGCCAAAATGGTAAGCTTGAAGAAGCTTTCAGACTTTTGGACATGATGGAAGCTATGGGACTAAGACCTAATGAAGTCAGCTATGGGGCTCTTTTGAATGGGCTGTGTAAGCATGCCAAGTTTGATTTAGCAAGAAGTCTTTTTGAGAGAGTGCGGATGAATGGGATTGTTATTAGTTGTACTATATATACAGCGATCATGGATGGGTTATGCAAAAATGGGTTGCTTGATGAAGCTATGCAGTTGTTTAATATGATGGTCCATGATGGTGTGGATCCTGATATTATAGCATTTTCGGTGCTCGTAAATGGACTTTGCAGAGCTGGGAAGATGAAACATGCGAGGGAGATAATATGTAAGATTTATAAAGCTGGCCTTGCACTGAATAGAATAATATGTTCTACTTTAATCTACAACTCTTGCAAGATGGGCAACATAGTTGAAGCGTTAAAGATTTATGCTGTTATGAATCACAATGGCCATGGTGCTGACCGTTTCACATGTAACATATTGGTTGCTTCGCTTTGTGAAGCTGGAAAACTAGAAGTGGCAGAAGATTTCATGCGTCATATGGGCAGTATGGGTCTTGATCCCGATTCCATTACTTATGATTGTATAATAAATGGCCATGGAAACATGGGAAATGGGTTAAAAGCATTTTCTATGTTTGATGAAATGATTAAGTCAGGTCATCATCCAACTCCATTCACATATGGAAGTATACTGAAAGGGCTATGCAAGGGTGGAAATTTGGGGGAAGCAAGGAAATTTTTGGGGAAACTCCACGGCATTCCATCTGTTGTTGATACTGTTATCTACAATACAATAATTTATGAGACATGTAAATCTGGAAATCTGCAAGAGGCTGTTTCCCTTCTTGATGAGATGGTTGAGAATAATGTTCTGCCTGATGATTATACGTATGGTGGCCTTCTTGCTGGGTTATGCAGGAAGGGAAAAATGGTTGCCGCCATCCTGTTGTTTGGGAAACTCATGGGAAAAGTGACTTGCTCACAAAGTGCAATAATGTATACCTGTCTAGTCGATGGCCTTTTCAAGATCGGCCAGTCTAAGGCTGCTTTGTATCTCTTTGAAGAGATGGAGAACAAAGGTCTATACTTGGATACTATTGCTTGTAATGTCATGATAGATGGATACTCGAGAATGGGAAAACTAATGAAGGCAAATGAACTGTTTTCAACTATGGGGAGCAGCAGATTGTGCCCTGATTTGGTTACATATAATATTCTCTTGCATGGATACTCGAAGAACCGGGACCTCGTGAAATGCTCTATGTTATACAATAACATGATCCGGGCCAGATTATTTCCCGACAAATTGACATGGCACTCTCTCATTCTTGGATTATGCGAGTCCAGTATGTTGGATGTTGGCCGCAAAATGTTGAATAAGATGATAATGGAAGGTGCTATAGCTGATCATCTAACAGTTAACATGCTTGTTAGCAAGTATTCTGAGACTGGTAAGATGGTGAAGGCCTTTGAGCTAGTTAGTGTCCTGAATCTGTTAGGAGTTTCTGCTAATATAGACACCCACGGTGCTATCTTGAATGGACTATTCAGAAGCCAAGATTTCCAAGCATCCCGTGCCCTTCTTTATGAAATGTTGGAAAAAGGTTTAACTCCCAAGGATACACATTATTTCACCTTAATTAATGGTATGTGTAGAGTGGGAGATATACAAGGAGCATTCAAACTAAAAGATCATATGGAGGCTCTTGGTGTTACTACCAGTGACATTGCTGAGAGTGCTATGGTTAGAGGGCTTGCGAAATGCGGGAAGATTGAAGAATCAATGCTGGTTCTTGATCGAATGCTTCGAATGAAACTCATTCCAACAACTGCTACTTTTACTACTTTGATGCACATGTTCTGCAAACAAGCCAACCTTGCAGTGGCTCTAAAATTGAGGGGCACAATGGAATGTTGTGGTGTGAAGCTTGATGTCCCTGTGTTTAATGTTCTCATTTCAGGCCTTTGTGCCAATGGTGATGTTGTGGTTGCATTTGAGCTTTATGAGGAGATGAAACAAAGAGGTCTCATGCCCAACACGACAACTTATACTTTGCTCATTGGTGCTGTTTCCTCTCATAATAATCTTATTAAAGCTGAACAACTTTTGGGAGATTTATCTGAAAGGGGACTGATATCTGGAAATTTGGATGGAAGCGCCCAAATGCTACATGAGAGGTTGATGAATGCAATGGGAAGACTAAATTCTTTGAGGCGCATAAAAGGAACTAATACTAAAGAGAGGTAGTAAAGCCGTACTTGGATTGGGATATGCGGCCGCAATGGGCTTTCATTACTTAACCGAGTTATGATATAAACTTTTCTACTGGAGGTCTGATGGGAGATGGGATTGTGATTGGTTCTCTTTACTTAACGAAGTTTTGATATAAACCTTTCTACTTGAGGTCCGTTGAGAGATGAGACTGCGATGGCTCTCATCGCTTACTGAAGTTATAATACAACATGACCTTCTGCTATAGTTTACAGTAAGCTGCATTCTCCAATACCTTTCCTTATCTTCTACTTTCTTTAACAACATATATCTGCTTGTATTTATTAGTAATTTATTTTCTGCTACTTTAGGTGAAATGCAGTCTACCTCATGCTTGGATGTCATGTTTCGTGATATGATATTTGTTGTGGCAAAATGAATCATGCCCCATGCTAGGTGAGTTCCAACTT